GGATATGGTGCTGCCTGCGTTAACCCCGATACGAAGTGCCCCACCAACACCGAGGTCAACATCCAAGCTGTCGCCGCCCACCCGCCCAAAGATGCAAGGGGGGGGGAATTAAGTCACCCCCAAAAAGACGGCCTAGCCATTTTTTCGGGGCTCAAAAAAAAAAAAAAGACCCGGCCTTATTATATGAGAAACACGGTATTTACGACTGGTTGCCAAATGCCCTGCAATCGTGTGATTGCCATTTGCAATTTTCTCTGCTGGCTTTCCCAGAAAGTCAATGGGGAAGCCTGAAAGGAAGGTTGCAAGTGGAGAGAACATCAGATTTAAGGTCTATTTCTTTAGCTGGTAAAGTGATTTCCCTCCCCATTCAGGAAGTGGAAATCCTCCTGCATGCTAGAGAAACAAACCACAAATCACTACTAAACATAAGCATTTGGAGCCTTTCGGAATGCTGGTGTTTGCTAGCATTTTTCTTTTCTCTGGACTTTCTGGACCTTCCAGAAGGGAGGGGAAAATGCTAGCAAACACCAGCATTTTTGAAAGGTTTACAAGGCTGGTTCACTAACATTTTCACCAGTTATAAGGTCTGTTTCTCCCCCAATCCTGCAGGAATGGACCTCAAATCTGACAAAAACAATCATTCTTTGGCACTTAATGATCACAATTAGGTCATTAAGTGGGCCAAGCTAGTGTCATTATGCAAAGCAGTCACTTAGCAACCACTTTGCTGAAGACTGCTATTTCGATTACAATTGCAAGCGGATGTCTGGCTTTATGAATAAATGCAGTATAGGTGTCTGTATCCAAGTATAATTATAAACACTGGAACAATGGAATGAAACTGAGAAATTAAACTTATAATTTCAGACATAATAATAGCCATGTGTTATAGGGACTGTACATATGTATATTCATACAGTCAAGGAACATATGTAAGGCCTCCTCATACATAAATAGCAAATATGAAACTGTTTTGCATTGATGTAAATAACAAAATAAACAAATGAAAGTTTACCTGTTCTATCAAAACCCGTTACAACCACAGCATGATTCTGTTCCCCACTAGAACAATGATGTTGTATGATACCACCAAGATAATCTTGCCAGCTAAGTGCATCTACAACTACGGACAAAGGACCCCATTTAATCAGCATCTTCATCATTTCATCTTCATGTTTGCTGCAAGACACAGTAATAATGATATATAGTTAGAATGCAATACTCAAAACACCGCTCTGCAATAAAACAGGTTAATCTGTATCAAGAAGCTGGCCATTCCCATGTCTGTTCAGAAACTGGAGTAACTTGTGCCAATGAAATTATATTAGGAAGGATTTACTAGCACTGCCCCAATAATTAAATAAAAATTTCATTCAAATGAAGCAAAGAATATGGAAAATATATAATCGGCTCCCTAAATTTAATTCAAATGCAATAAAACCTCAATGCCAGGGAGAGCGGGTGTCCATTAAAAGCAAATATTTGTTAAATGAAAATTTAACTTGGGTGGACTGATTCATTAAATGGACTTTTCCATTATTTGCCGATGAAGTCAAAAGTCAGAAGTTGTTTACCGTAGGGCTACCCAACCCGCAGTCCACAGACCGGCACCAGTCCGTGGCATGCCAGAAACTGGGCCGCACAAACAAGCAAAGCTCCATCCGCAGGATACAGGCAGTACCCGAAACCATGCCCCCTCTGGTCTGTGGAAAAACTTCTCTCCAAAGACCCACTCCCTAGTGCCCAAAAGATTGGGGGCTACTGATTTATTGCATCCAAAGTCTGCTGAATTGGGTGGGAAAGGAACAAGGGGCACTTTGTAAATACATATTTAATAGAGTTTAGTTCCCAATCCCAATTCCAAGCCCATCTATCTAGTTTTACCTGTAAGTTGAATCATTTGTTGAAAAGATGCATGCAATAGATTATTCTATATTAGGCTGCTCGATGTCTATCCAGCAGCTGCAACTCCATTTTCATATACAAGTAGTTCTTGACTTACAACCACAATTGAACCCAAAATTTCTGTTAAGTGAGACAGTTGATAAGTGAGTTTTGCCCCCATTTTATGAGCTTTCCCTGCCACAGTTGTTAAGTGAATCACTGAAGTTAGTAACACGGTTGTTAAATGAACCTGGTTTCCCCATTGACTTTGTCAGAAGGTAGCAAAGAGGGATCATATGAACCAAAACAACCACGCCACTTGCCAAGCATCTGAATTTTGATCAAGTGATCATGGAGATGGTGCAATGGTCGTAAATGTGGAAAATGGTGAAGAGTCATTTCTGTTGTAACTGTGAATGGTTACTAAACAAACTGTTGTAAGTTGAAGACTACCTATAGTTACAAAAAAGAGGAAGTGAATGTTTAGATGTGCTTTTTCTGCTGTTCTTGGGGACTATCTTTCCTTGCCTGAAAAGAACTGCTTGTTAATACATGTATTTAGAACTATTTAGTCTCTAAAGAGAAATTTATTTGATATACAATTTCTCACACAATTAGGAAATGTACCAAAGCCTGTTATTTTATGCATTTCAATATTCCAAATAACTCTTTGTGCTTGCATTATTCTTTTTTAAAAAACTGTCAAACGTATACTAGCTGTAGAATAAAGGCAATGCTTTTTAAATACGTTTATCAATTTTTGTTACAACAGGCACAATTTTTCAAAGCTATAATGACGTTAGTTACTAAAATGGTCAGTTTTTAGTAGTATTTTAATAAACTCTTTTACGTAACATTTTAAATATTTTTAAAATATACTGGTTTGAACAAGCAAAAGAAAATGAATAGTTTTCATGTATGTACTAGTATTAGTGAATATTCCTTAATTATTTATACAGATTTATGAATAAATATTGGTGTTCAACTATTTGCAAACATTTGCGATTTTCTTTTTTATTCAGGTTGTTCTGGTGAGTTATATAAACCCAAACAGCTTTGTTGTTTTCAGTATCACTATTTATTCTGGCCACATGGGAAAAGAGTCAGTATTTTATTTATTTATTTATTTTGATTGGTCAATCGCAAACACTGCAAACAGTACCTATTCCTTTTTATGGACAAATAGCTGATAACCCGGCATTGCCCAGGTATTCATTTATCCCAATCCTGTATTAGATAGGAAAAGGAATGAGTTATATCTATAGTGTCAAATCAAAGCTTTATCTGCTTTAGCAGGCACTTGCCCTCTTTGCTTGAAGCCCCCTTGTTTTTTATAAGGACCAATCCCTCTTACCAGAGGGAGCCCCCTTGTGGAGTACTGTGAAGCCCTTACCATGGTAACTCCACTGTGCTGTACAGTAGAAGCCATTTTAAGACACACACCCTGAGGGGTGTTAGGCGTGCCTTACCCCTACAGTACATACAGAGCCATTTTTTAGAAGAGAGATATAGATAGATTGGGTTAATGTATAACATGTATCTGTCTCTTCAGAGATTGACCTGATTTGAAAAAAGATGGCCTTTACCACATATTTTAAAAGCCACTCTGCTTTATCCTACATTAAAAGCAGAAAAGTATTGTTTTTTGCCACAAGTATGATGGATAAATTTATTGTGACTGGAGACTCAAGAAATTTATTTAAAATTCTAAAAAGGAAGAGAGGGACAGAATCCAAACTACTACTAAATTTATTGAGACCTACGAAGTAGCTTTCTATCATTTCAAGAATATTTCTTAAGTTTTTACTTAACATACACACACATACTTAAAATACACACACACACACACACACACACACATACACACACACACAGAGGTAGTCCTTGTCTTATGATCACAATTGAGCCCGGAATTTCAGCTGTAAGTTGTTGCTGTAGGCTAAGCAGGTCACATTACCTGACTTGATTTTATGACCATTTTTACAACAGTCATAGAGTGAATCACTATAGTCATTAAACAAACCACAAAGTTATTGAATTTATTTTTTTAAATGTATAAGCTGCCCCTCTCAACATCCAAAGTGGATCCAACATATTCATGAGTGTTTTTTGCCATTTTCTAAAACGGCAAAGAAGTTGCAAATCATGATCACATCACTGTGAGAAATTGCAATTAATCATAAATATGAGCTGGCGACCAAGTGCCATTGTGATGTGACTGCAGCGGGGTGGTCATAACTTCAAAGACAGGTCATAACTGCTTTCCTGAACTCTGTCCTAACTTCAACTGCTTGTTAAGCAACTGATCATTAGGCAAGGACTATCTGTATTTATGTTGCTCAATGTACCAATTCCCTACTGCTATAGAACCAATTTTTGAACATGACTCCAACTGTTCCTCATCACACAGATCAAATGAAACTGTAACATATGGAAGGCCAATACTTCTCTACCTTAAGCCAGTCAAAAAAACCATAAACATATTAATTATTACCTTAGGTCATATGCAACATAATCTGTTATTGAGATTCCAAAATCAGAACGTCTGAAGTAATGGCACAATCCTGTATGAGCTTTAAACAGATACTCTGAATCTCTCACCAGTTTCACATGTGTCTTCAGGGGAAAAAAAATCAATGATTCATAATTAAATATCAATATATTTATGCTTTTCAAAGTTATCTTTGATAGGTTCTATGCAAGAGAGGCAAGATAATATTGCAGCCCAACTAGCATGAAATCCCTTTTTTCTTAGATTGCATACTATGAAGAGAAAGAGACCAGGAATCTAGAACTGTTCTCAATTCGTATTTGTAGACGGTTTTGTGGAAAATATTTGAAGAACTTATGTAATGCCTGAGGCACATGGTCAATATAGCCATTTCAAGCCAATCCACTAGCTTGAAAAATCAATGTAGCAGTGGAAGGTAATTTTTGCATTAGTATGACATTGAGTTCAACTAAAGCTGTTTTTAAAAATAATTATAAGATTTGTCTTCTCTCCACAAACCCTGTTCACTTATCAATAAAGATTTTAAATAAATACCTCATTTAGCCAACTCAGTGCACTAATAGTTGAACCACCATTGCAACCATAATTATTATATGAACAGTCAATGACTTGCTGTACACTGAGTTCTTCCAGAGTATTTCCTTTAATTGCATAAGCAGATTCTATTCCACTAACAATACTGAAAGCCCAGCAGGCACCACACTGTAAAGAAAAGAAAAAATCCCATGGGTATTATTATTCTTTGAATAAGTGTTTAATAAAGCATGTTTACTACGAATATTATGTTATCCCACTGCACTATTTATGATTTTTAATGTATAATGTTTTTCTGATTACATATAGCATTCAATCCATTTTCAAGAAAATTCTTTTTGATTCCTTTCAGAGAAGTGGACAGATATTGGTTGTCTTTTTAAGTGCAGAAGTTTTTTTTCTAAGCACTTTCAGACTGTTGGAATATAATAATAATAAAAAAAAATCTACTCTCTAGTCAGGCATAGCGTTTACTCAAGTCACTTTGAGCCAATCATGATCACTCATCTTTCTTAGGTCGCAGGTTTGTGGTAAAAATTAAATGAGAATGACAGGAAAAAAACTCTGTACACTGCCCTTAGCTCCCAAGTAATAAATATAAATTAAGTAAAAGTTGCATCATGCAAATCTAAGATATAATGCATTACGACACTAACATGAAAAGTATGGGAAGAAAAATCCAACTGGTTCAAGCTGGGAGAAAGCACTAGAGACAAAATGGAGGCTGGAGGTGATTGCAAAGAGGGTTTGTTTGTTTATTGGTGAACAGAACCACGTTTGTAGTTCCAGTGCAGCTGTTCACGTGGAGTTGAGAAAGGGGGTTAATACCTTCTCTTGGGTTTTGCACTTGAGCTTCCTGTTCCTGTGCAGGAAACATGTATTCTCGTGGGGCCATGTAGGGGTTACTTAGGGATCATAGCTGGTTTTATAGGTGAAGTCCAAATCCTAGCTGTTTGTCCAGCTAAGTTTGGTTGAAGTTTCTGAGGTGGTGCAACGAAAGGCCTTGTGTTCTTATGAATAGAGCTATCTATCCCTTCATCTCTTAAGGGCTGACATCTGCCGTGGGCTATTAAGAAAGGTGGGGGCTGCTTTCTCCCTCTAAAAAAACATGTTTCTCAATTTCTCATCCAGGAAAATATAATATTCTGCCTTTTCAATATTCCCCAAATTATTCTTCTAGGAGAGTTGGTGGGTGCTAACTTTCTACAAAAGAATGCAGAAATATCTTTCCTTATTTATTATAGCTCCTCTAATTACAGTGTAAGGCTGCCATAGAATTAAAATATATCCAAAACTATAACACTGAGATTAAATAAACAAGAAATAAGACAGTTTACCTCTCTTTGATTTTTCACTTCTGTAACAACATTCTTGTCCCTCCAATCAAACTTTGCTGGCAAGGGTGACCCTGTTCCTTGTAATGCAACTTGAGGAACATAACTGGGAACTTTAGAAGATCTACTTTGTAGGTAAATAGCTTTAATAAAAAAAAACACCAATTTATTTATTTTGACTTTATAACAACTACAATCAGCACAGATATCTTGTTTTGAAAGCAAACACTTATAAATTTTAATTTAATGCTAATCAGATCATTTTAGTGATCCAACATATATGGAATAGTGCTCAATGCACTCTGTCTTTTTGAATCTTCTTAAGAATATCTTCATTCAGGATAAAGTGGTACCATTGGCAAATAGTACACTTGGTAATATGTTATGTACCTTTAAATTCTTCAGAAGATAAATGAGAAAACTGATTTATTCCGTACAAAGCAGTAATATTGTCCCCGAATGATAATGAATTCCAATGCTTAATTCTTTTAATACTTTCCTGGGAAAATAAGTAGATCATTATATAATTATAGCCAAACAATTTTCAAAGAGCTACACTAAAGCCATTCAACACACCTTTGGTTTCTGCCAATTGTAGACTTCTGAAGCGAACAGGGATTTTCAGCGCTTGTGAAAATGGTTGACTTTTCAAAACTACGTGCCCTCTTTTGAGAATATACTATGCGTTTCAAAACAGGCTACTTTCTTTCTTTTTTTTAATTTGTCCAGCGATTATAAGATAACAGGTATAAGTAGAAACATAGTTATGAATACACGAAATGGATACATATCAGAAAAAAATCAAATCAAATCAAATCTTACTACTTACTACTCTCCTGCATCGTTTTTCCAATCTTTTTTTTTTAATTGATTTTTACAAAAATGAAAAATTGGAAAAAAAACTATTGCAGGAGAGGTTTTGTTGTGAGCCGCTCGGAGAGCTTCTCATTCATATAGACTTCTATTTTAACCCCACGTAGGGAGAAACGATTCGCTTTCCCGTATTAATTCTCATTTTAATATCAACTACCGCCCTTCCTTCCTTCCTTCCTAATCCCCGTTAGGAAATTTGCAAAACTCTTTGGAAACGGGGTCCCTGGTTTTGCAATCCTCTATTAAACAAAAAA